TAAGGTTTGTAGGTGTGAGAATAACTGTCTTTGTTTGGTCTCTAGGCATTCTTTTATGTCGGTGTACTTGGCATTTCGTATGCAGTGGCCTTTATTGTGTCAGTGTGTGTGGAATATCCCATGATGCAGTTGGAGAAGTTTATATTCAAAGGCGACAACTGAGCTCAGATGTCATTCACGATTTACATTCATTCCTTGACCAGAACCAAAGCACTTTCTGTAGAAGTTCGGTCTGCCAGCAAAGTCTAATTTTGGAAAATATTGCACTCGCATGCAGCACCAAGCAGTGGGAATAGGGGCTTTTTCTCAAGACTTTGAATCTTGGAACAATCTTGAACTACAGTTGTAATGTGAGAGGAATTAGCGAAGGGAATTTTCATAAGTGATAATTATTTGCGTGATATCCAGCTGCCTGAGTTTTCTTTATATTCCAAAGTGAAGTCAAAGTTTGCTTCAACAATTTAATCGATTACAAATTGTAAGGCTGATTTTATGAGTCTATGAACACGTTTTTGATCAGTTGTTTTTTATTTTTTTGACCAGTAATATCTTCTTGTCGGAATTTTCCACTTATTCCAGACTTACTTCGAATTTTCTAACGACTGAAGATTGCAACGAAGATCAATTTTAGCGTTTTATCTGTACGTGGCTAACACATGTAAACTTGCCTATGTTTTTTTATAACTAGCAAAGCTGGCTCTTATGGGTGAAGTCGAGCTGCGGCGCCCTAAAAATGAGTGGTGACACTGTTAGTAGTGACACTGTTATCACGAATCCACAACGTTTATATTTAAAAATGCTTGCAACGCAGGAGTGTTGACAGAAGCTTTTTCCAGGCCCTTAATTTTAAACCGAGAGGTAATTCTTATGCCTTAAGGCACATTTGATATATTCTTGAAAAATATCCATTTGAATCATACATTTAAAATCTTTTCATTCGCGAAATTCGCCGTCGTCGTCGTCGTCGTCGTCCAAGCTTCAGTAACTTGTTTCAGTCACAGAGTGGTAGCTATTTCTAATTTTATTGTTACTATTTCATTCCTAACAACTCATTATATAG